ATTTTTATTTCGGAGCGAAAAAAGTAACAAAATTCCAAAACTGAAGACTAATATCAACGCATTTTGTGAAATTTTGAAGGTTTCTGGGCTCGGTGTCGAAAATTCTTGAAAATCTAGGGAATATATCTCGGGGTCATATAATGCGGTATGGAACCACATATGATCATTATATGTTGTCATATATGTTCGTGGTAGGCTTGAATTAATGAAATCGGTGCAAGTTGTAAATTTGTAAATTTGTCGTTTAAAGAAAATTTGATGGTTCCACCCACACAATTGGACTCACCATAGGGTATTAGGGACCATGGTAAAAATTTCGGCAATTTTTATTTTTGAGCGAAAAAAGTCAAAAAATTCCAAAATTGAAGGCTAATATACACGCTTTTTATGTTTGAAACCATATATGATCATTATATGTTGTTATAAATGTTCGTGGTAATAAGCTTGAGTTAATTGAAATCGAAGAGGTTGTAAATCGGTAAATTGTTCATTTAAATGCAAATTGGATGGTTCCTCCCACCCAATTGGGCTATTGGAGGGTATTAGGGACCATGGTAAACATTTTGGGAATTTTTATTTATGAGCAAAAAAGTCACAAAATTATAAAATTGAAGACTAATATCCACGCATTTTCCGAAATTTGTCATTTAAATGCAAATTGGATGTTTCCTACCACCCAAATTGACTTTTGGAGGGTATTAGGGACCATGGTAAACATTTTGGCAATTTTTATTTCCGAGCAAAAAGAGTCACAAAATTCCAAAATTGAAGACTAATATCCACGCATTTTGTGAAATTTTGAAGGTTTCGGGGCTCGGTGTCGAAAAGTCTAGAAAATCTAGGGAATATATCTCGGGGTCATATTATGCCGTTTGGAACCATATATGATCATTAGATGTTGTCATAAATGTTCATGGTAGGCTCGAGTTAATGAAATCGGTGCAAGTTGTAAATCGGTAAATTTGCCATTTAAAGGCAAATTGGATGGTTCCACCCACCCAATGGGACTCACAGAGGGTATTAGGGACCATGATAAATATTTCGGAAATTTTTATTTTCGGGCGAAAAAAAGTCAAAAAATTCCAAAATTGAAGGCTAATATCCACGCTTTTAAAGAAATTTTTGAGGTTTAGGGTCCGTTGTCGAAAAACCTTGAGATTTTAGGGGATAGATACATCTTAGGGTCGTATAATGCCGTTTGGAACCATATATAATCATTATATGTTGTCATAAATGTATGTTGTAGGCTTGAATTAATGAAATCGGTGACAGTTGTAAATCGGTAAATTGATCGTTTAAAGGCAAATTGGATGGTTTCACCTACCCAATTTGACTCCAGGAGGTTATTAATTGTGGTAAACATTTCGGCAATTTTTATTTGCAAGCGTAAAAAAGTCAAAAAATTTAAAATTGAAGGGTAATATCCACGCTTTTTGGGAAATTTTGATTGTTTCGGGGCCGGTGTTGAAAAGCATTGAGATTTTAGGGGATACATCTCGGGGTCATATAATGCCGTTTGGAACCATATATTATCATTATATGTTGTTATAAATATTCGTGGTAAGCTTGAGTTAATTGAAATCGAAGAAGTTGTAAATCGGTAAATTGGCCATTTAAATGCAAATTGGATGGTTCCTCCCACCCAATTGGACTATTGGAGGGTATTAGAGACCATGGTAAACATTTTGGGAATTTTTATTTATGAGAAAAAAAAGTCACAAAATTCTAAAATTGAAGACTAATATCCACGCATTTTCCGAAATTTTGAAGGTTTCGGGGCTCGATGTCGAAAAGACTTGAAAGTCTAGGGAATACATTTTGGGGTCATATAATGTCGTTTGGAACCATATATGATCATTATATGTTGTCACAAATGTTCATGGTAGGCTTGAGTTAATGAAATCGAATAAGTAGTAGACTGGTAAATTAGTCGTTAAAAGCAAATTGGATGTTTCCTACCACCCAAATTGACTTTTTGAGGGTACTAGGGACCTTGGTAAACATTTTGGAAATTTTTATTTCGAGCGAAAAAAGTCACAAAATTCCAAAATTGAAGACTAATATCCACGCATTTTGTGAAATCTTGAAGGTTTCGGGGCTCGGTGTCGAAAAGTCTTGAAAATCTAGGGAATATATCTCGGGGTCATATTATGTCGTTTGAAACCTGTAGACATCCATTTGTGTCTCCCCAAAACCAAACCCAGTGATGAGTACCTTTCACGTCGAATCATAATCGAATGAAGCGAAAGTGTGGAAAGTCTAGTGTTGCGGATAGTTTTAATTTCTTTTCTCTTCTCTCTGTTTTTGAAAACTTATTTTAAGAAAACAGTCAATCCAGTTTGGTTGGTCCATGATATGGGTCCAATAGTAGTGTAGTTGGATAGGGCTTGCTTTCCAACGATATATTATAAGCCCAATTCTGATGAATATTGAGGAAGTTATGGCCAATTTACTAAACTGGGCCCGTTTTGAGCCTTATGTACGGCCCAATGATCTAGGGGAGGGGCTAATATGATTTATCATTCCTAATGCAATTAGGAATGGTTTTAGTCTTCTAGATTCTTCTAGAAGGTTCTTTTCATTCCTAATTCAATTAGCATTGATAAATTGACTTTTTGTTGACTTTTCAGAATTTTAATCAAAATCAAATAGCATTTTCGAGGAAATTATATGATTTTATCCTCCAGTACGACAAACTTATCTAATTTTTGAAAACGCGTTAAAAACATGCCTGGCGCCTGACTCCAGGCATTGGCGCCTGGCGCCAGCTCTGTTTTGCGTGCACCAACCTCGTTTTGCGTGCGCCAAGTGCTCTGTTTTGTTAATTTATCTTTTTGGCTGATTTTCTCTATAAATAACGTATTAAAAACTCCGTTTTCATTCACCAATTCTCACCGATTCTCATCAACAACGAGCTTTTCAATTATAATCACCTACAATCAGTTTTCAATTCTCTCATCAATTCTCTTTAATTCTTATTCTTAATCATTCACCATCTCTTTCTCTCTTTTTCAAAACTAATTTTTTACATACAAAATTCCGCATTCACAAGATCTAGAAACACCTAGCCATATTCGAAGTTGCCTTCGCCCTAGACGTGAAACGTTTAATTTCTGAGGGTCTGGTCCCAAATCTCTATTTCAATTATTTAATTTAATTGTTTGTTTATTATTTTCCTTGAAGTTACTAACGTGTGTATTTTGTTATTAGAAAGAGGTACGAGGCATCAAAGTAAGTGCTTTAATGGTTTTAATTGATTTATTATGATGTAGAAAGCATGTTTATATTGTTATTATGATATTCCTAGTATCATGTCTAGGATAATTTTAATATTAAATATGATTGTTGCGATGCCTTTTATTCTCTTCCTAATATTTATGATTGTTAGTATCATGTTAGGGCTAAAGATTTGATTTTTATTGCTTAGTGACATGCTAGGGTTTGTTATTAATCTTGTTAGTATCATGCCTAGGATCTTGCTATTATTTTTATGCTTTAATATTAATATGAACATGATTATGATTATAATTATTATGATTTATGATGATTATGAATATTATTATTATTATTATTTTGATGATGATTTTATCTATGATGATATTATTATTATTGTGATTATTATAATTATTCATGTTCATTCTTATGATAATTTATTATTATATTGCTTGATATTTATTGTTATTGCTTGAACACGCTTTTATGCATGTTTAAGGGAATTGGTACTTGTAATCACGCTTAATATAAGATAATTAATAATCTTGTTAGGGTTAATTTGATTATAATTTCAAGTGATCGCCAATAATAGTTTTTTTGTGCATTAATATTCAACCAACATAGATAAACAGGTTTAGGGTTAATCCTATCGATTGCATGTTAATCAAAAAGCGCACATGAATACGATCAGAATAAAGTAGAGGCCTATTATTAGGGTAGGTTCAATCTCTTTTAGGTTGGATTTGTACCTTCATCCCCGAACCCTTATTTGGTTCTAGACCTTATGGAGTTGACGATCTCTTGGATCGATAAGGGGTGTAACCTTCACCCTGTGAACGGTTTACAAGTTCCTAAAACTTGTTGGCGACTCTTTTACTCTATCTTCTTCCCTTTTGGACGCCACCATACTTTAGTGTATGATCACAGTGGGGTTCAAGCATGGGGTTAACTCTTGAAATTTATTCCCTACAGAACCATATATGATCATTAGATTTTGTCAAAAATGTTCGTGGTAAGCTTGAGTTAATGAAATCGGTGCAAGTTGTAAATCGGTAAATTTGCCATTTACAGGTAAATTGGATGGTTCCACCCACCCAATGGGACTTACGGATGGTATTAGGGACTATGATAAACATTTCGGCAATTTTTATTTCCGGGCGAAAAAAAGTCAAAAATTCCAAAATTGAAGGCTAATATCCACGCTTTTTGCGAAATTTTTGAGGTTTGGGGCCCGTTGTCGAAAAACCTTGAGATTTTAGGGGATACATCTCAGGGTCATATAATGCCGTTTGGAACCATATATAGTCATTATATGTTATCATAAATGTATGTTGTAGGCTTGAATTAATGAAATCAGTGACAGCTGTAAATCGGTAAATTGGCCGTTTAAAGACAAATTGGATGGTTTCACCTACCCAATTGGACTCTCGGAGGGTATTAGGCATCATGGTAAACATTTCGGCAATTTTTATTTGCAAGCGAAAAAAGTCAAAAAATTCCAAAATTAAAGGCTAATATCCACGCTTTTTGAGAAATTTTGGAGTTTTAGGGTAGAGCTATCAATTCGTGTAAACAGTTCAGTTCATAAACAGTTCGGGTAGAGCTCAGTTCAGTTCAGCTCAGTTCAGTTCAGTTCAACTCCTAATTTTCTTCTCTTATTAAATATTCATTTCAGTTGAATTCAGCTCAGTTCAGTTCAGTCAATGAGAACAGACCCTAATTCGTGAATCAAGATTTCATCTTCATTAACAATCAATTATTTCTCTCAACTCTCAAGTGTCACGAAAATTATTGCTCTTAAATCCGAAATTTCGAATATCTCAAAAACATCCTCTCAATTCTCAAAACCATACATTCAAACAGAATAAATAAAATCACTTCATTAAATCCCCAAACTTAATTAATTAATCAAGTTAAATTACAAAAATGAACACAAATGTTGTCGTCAAGCTAAAAACAGTTAAAAAATTAATCAAACCATTACAACCTGATCAACCATCATTAGCACACATTTTCTCTCCCCTCTTTCTTCATTCCAACAATGAACATCACTCACTCTCTCTTCACTGATGTCACTCTTTCTCTCTCCTCCCAAACACTCCGACCTTCTTCCCTCCACTTTCCGGCGCCGGCGATTCTATCTCTCCTACTCCGGCGAGATGCTGCGCTCTCTCTTTCCTTCCGCCGGTAACGCCTTCTCCGATTTCGCCTCCGCCGCCGCCGATATGCCGTCAGAAAAAACTTTGTTTCTCCGGCGATCTGTCGCCGCCTTTTGCTTCTTCGCTGCTATTTTGTTCGTTTACAACTCCGTTCGTTTCTTCGCCGACACTTCTGTTACTAATCCCGTCGGATTTTTTCCTGTTCCTGACGGTTTATCTTCTCAGGTTATTGATTGATTTTCTGTTGTTGATGATTTCTAGTTTTTTCTTTGAATCTGAAATTTATTTCTTAATTTGGATGATTTTTTTTTGGTTGATTTACCTGAATTTTAGTGTAAATTGATCTGGATTTGTATTTTTTTTTTATTGAAGCTGTTGTTGATTTAAATAATTTCAATTATCTTCGTTTTAGATTTATTTATTATCAGGTTAAGTTGAATTTGAGTGGAAATTGAACTGAACTGGCTTCTGGTAGTAATTAAGCTGTTTGGTTTGAATGCAGTTGAACGAGTTATTGGATATGGTAATTTAAGTATGATCTAGATTCAGGATTTGCTTTAAATATTGCAATTGAGGTGAAATTGGAATGTGTTTTAGTATGGAATTTCTTTAATTAGTAAGTTTTGGTCATTTTATTGCTTGTAAGCTTTATGTCAAGTGAAATTCGAACTAATGATGCGTTTTTTCTGCTCTTATTAGATTACTGTTTAACGTGAATTTGAAAGTATGAGTTGCTGGATTGAGAACACTCGATTGAGTTCATTTATATGTCGCGCAAAGTTTATATTTTGTTTGATGATTGATTGATTGTGGTGTGCAACATATAATGTGTTTTATACGAAAATTATAGGTTAGTGAGGAGTCCAGGCTTGAAAAGGTCCTGAATGATGCTGCTACGGAAGATAAAACTATTATTATAACTACACTGAACGATGCCTGGGCAACGCCTAATTCCATCTTTGATCTCTTCCTAGAAAGCTTTAGGATTGGACTTCATACCCGGAGACTTTTGGACCATCTAGTAGTTGTGGCATTGGATGACAAAGCATATAGACGGTGCTTAAGTTTACATCTCCATTGCTATGCTCTTTTGACTGAAGGAATTGATTTTTCTAAAGAGGCGTACTTTATGACGCCTGATTACCTGAAGATGATGTGGAGAAGGATCGATTTCCTGCGAAGTGTACTTGAAATGGGATACAATTTTGTATTCACTGTAAGCTTTTCCTCTCTACTTTACTTGTCTAAATATCTGCGTATTCTGTTATCACTTGTTTTACCTTTGCAGTCATGAGTTTTTGTAGATGCATGAAAAGATTTCTCATTTCCTATTTTGCATCTGCCTTGGTCATAACAAATTATCAAGTTGATATATAATTTAAGACTGGCCTGCTAAGACTTACATTTTGCTTGTATCATCTCTTTTATACCTTGGTGAGCCACACCTATTTTAAAATAAATAAAATCATTACTAAGAATGAGCAATTGATTTTACTTTTGATGTTGCCCAACTTGCCTGTTTAGGATGCTTGATGCTGCAATAATTTCTAAAAAGTTAATGTCTTTTGTATGTTACTACTTACTACAGAATTATATCAATGCTGAAAAACCATTGTTTTTTTTCCAAAAGATTGAACCTCAAAAACTATTTCAGAACTGCAATTTCACCCATTGAAGTCAAGGTACCTCAAAGAAATTAAGATTTACAAATCCGCAAGGCAAAAAGCCTGCTAATGGATTCCTGTTCTCTCACGGTGCTCACCCTAACGGTTTGTTTGGATGAAGAAAGGGGAAGGAAAAGAAGGGGAGGGAGGAGAAGAGGAGGGGAGGGAAAGGAAGGGGAGGGAAGAATGGTGAGTTTTCCTTCCAAATCTCTCCATTGTTGGAGGGATCAATTTCCTACAATTTTAATCACTCCATTTCTCTCCCCTCCAATTCCCTCCCTTCCTCATTTGCTATCCAAATGAAAGATACTCCATCTCTCCATTTCTCTTCCCTTCCTTTCCCTCCATTTCCTTTAATCCAAGCACACCGTAAATGATGAGCTCCTTATGATTATCCAACCTCAATTTCGACCTTGTTTTGAAGGTTGCCTACTTCGGTTCATTCTGGAATGTCTTATAATAATACTTGTCATCTTAATGACGTTATATTGTATGAATGCACCTTCATGATTTCACCAGCCTTTTTTTACTCCATCGACAATTTTCTGCTACCTGTTATTACTCTGTTTATGCACCTGTCAAAGATGGCATCAGAAGTTTTTGTTGTGTATGCATCTGTACACTTCTGGAATTTTCCCTTTTCTCCAGAAATTATCTCTATCAATGGTTTAACATCACCTTTTGTGGTTAAGACCTTCAGCTTTGCGAGTTCATCTCATTCTGTGCTTTGACCACTTAAGATAAGAGCAAGACCTCAAAATGCACCTGCAAGGAGATATGATTATCAACTCCAAACTATCAGGGGGTGCAACAAACTGCCCACTATTTTGCTAGGTCAGAAGTACTTGTGTTCATCTTAACCTGCAGCAAACTCCCCACTAATTTTGATAGAGATACGAGGTCAGAAGATTTAAGAGCCTTTTTGCTCATGTCACTTACTGGATAATGCCTCTTCTTTTCTGCTCTAGTTGCTTGTGTGTGCACTTTTACTGGTAGTCACTATTTTAGGAAGTTTTTTGGCTTTAGTTATCTTTCTTGACTTCCTGTTTATACTCATACTAGTAATTTTTAAAGCGCAATAAGTTATTCTAACTTATTCTTTAGGATGCTGATGTCATGTGGTTCAGAGATCCATTTCCACGATTCTTTCCTGAAGCTGATTTTCAAATAGCATGTGACCATTTCTCGGGCAATTCATCTACCATGCATAATAGGCCTAATGGTGGTTTCAATTACGTTAAATCAAACAACCGATCCATTGAGTTTTACAAGTTTTGGTACTCATCACAAGAAAACTATCCTGGCTACCATGATCAGGATGTACTAAATTTTATCAAACATGATCCATACATCACAGAAATGGGGCTGACGGTGAGATTTTTAGATACTGCTTACTTTGGTGGACTGTGTGAACCTAGCAAAGATTTGAATGAAGTATGTACGATGCATGCCAATTGTTGTTATGGTATCAATAGCAAGCTACATGATCTTAAGATTATGCTTCAAGACTGGAAACTATTTATGTCCTTGCCCCTGAGTTTGAAGCGCTCGCAAGCATATACCTGGAGGGTCCCAATGAACTGCAGGTATAACATACCTTACGCTTGTTTTACAACATTATAATACTCCTCATTTTGGCTGATTGTGCTATGATCTTTTAGGCCCTAATCATTACTTTGCAATACTCCTTTTGCAGCCTAAGTGCATTCCACCCTGCTAAGATTCCGGCGGAGAGTGATGAAGAAGAAAATGAAAATTGATTTGTATATCACATTCCAATTTTACTCGAGATTAATTATTTATGATTGGCAAATTTAGTTCTGCCCTACTTTCCAAACCTAGAGTGGCTAGAGGGGTGGATAGAGGGCACCACGAGGTCCAAAGAGGTCCCTTGTCTCTAGGCTTTGAGGTATTTCGAGTCATTAATCATGCCTAGTTTTGTTGAATTATATTTTGAACTAGGTTGGTAGATGATATTAGCTAGGAGGAACTAAGCTTTAGTACACAAAAAATTGTACAGTGTAAACTGTAAAGTAATTGCGGTGTAGAAATGTAAGGGTTTATTTTGTAAGATGCAGGATTGAGTTATCAAATTACTTGTTCAGTAACCTTGACTTTACAACAAAGTCAATGATCCACGAAATATCACTACACAGATTACTTTTTGGGAAATTTTCTCGGTGCTTATGTAGTGTAATTTCAGGTGAGTCTCAGTTTAAATTCTTGTGATTCATTTGCCAAATAATGTAGTGTAATTTTGGGAATTATTCTGGTACAACATCTCCTACAAGATGGATAGGTCTTATTTTACCCTGCTTTGGAAAATTAAATGTGTGTTCAACACACCATACAACAGAACAAATCAAATTGCTATGCTATATACTTCGTACTTTGTTGTTTGTACTCCGGTATATTAAATCATAAAACAGTGAAAGGGTTAAAGTATGCTGCATCACCTCATTGGCATCAGCAAGTGTACAAGAACGGAAAGATTGAAGTATATAATTATATACAAAAAGTAACTAGTACAGAGTATATTTTACACGAGATTAAGATACTACATATTACACAGGTAAAGAAATCATATTGATCTTCACGCTCCTTGTGAATGATAATCATAGATCACAGCCCAAGCTTGTAATTTCAGTATCACTTAAGTTGATATACCCAACTGAATTCATTACCTTGGACAGAACACATCCAAATATCCAATAGGTCACTTTGCGACTTGTATCACTTTTTAGAAAAAATGTTGTAAGTTATCGCATTTCCAAATACTTCACATTTGTTATTATCAGCTCTTACTGGAATTCAGTGGATTTTGCTTGCACCTAAAACCTCGTATATTTTTTCTGGTGTTCTTGGCCTCAAAATGTGGTTTTGGACCCCAAAAATTCACCAGATTTCAGTAAGATATGACAATTACAAATGTGAAGTGCGTGAAAATTTCATAATTACATTTTTTTTTAAAAGAGGCTGCAAGTCACAAAGTGGCTCCTTAAATTGACATTTTTTTTTATATAAGATTACAGTCTTATACCTCTACAAAAATGCAAACACAAATGGGCAAGAGAGAAGAGGACAACTAAGAAGCATGATTAAAACTTCACTTCTACCTTTACAAAAATTTATGTATCCAACTCCTCAGAGCTCAAAAGAATGCCATCATCCCAAATTTCAACAAACCTGAAAGTACGTCACCTCGAGTTAAAGCATCAGATCATCAAGAATGCATTGTAAAGCTTACATGCTAATGAAGTCAAATGTGCACATACAACGTTCTAAAATCCAATGTTAATGAAGTGTTATGTGCGCATACAGTGTTCTAAAATCCAATGCTAGTGAATAAAATGTGCGCATACAATGTTCTGAAATCCAAAATATGGAAACTTTATCAATGATACTCGATGCTCATCTTAATTAGCCCAGAAAGACAGGTTGGCAGGAGTCACAGGGCCACCCTATATTTTCTTTTCAAGCTAAGTCAGAAATTATTGTACAAAATTAACTGTTTCACATACATGTAGAAGCAGATATACACAGAAGAAAACACGACAATAATGGCCTAACTGTCTATAGACTCGATAGAACAGACAGCTATATCAAAGATTCAAAGATAAACTAAGACAGTATGCATAGTAAAATAATTGACAGAAATTCAGCATTCATGTCAAACTTCATGTAGCACAAATGGATTCACAGCATATAACTAGGTTATACTAGTTGACAGAGTGATAAGGATTTGGAGACAATAAGCTCAGAGTTTTCTGCAATTCATTACACCCATAAAAAAATTACACTAGGAAAAAAATCTCATGATTTAAGATGGCGTGCAGAATAAACTCACAAAGCCTAAATTGGTCAGATGCTCGCAGCATCTCCATCCATCTGTGACTACCAAATATCTTTTGAGCAAATTTACTATGAAAATCACACTGTTTACAATTATTCTGCAACATATTTCCCCCATTCTATTTTCATTGACACATTTCTTTTATCACATTTGCCAATGCACAAGTTCAACAACTCATCTCTATTTTCCAATAAGTAAAAATTACAGAAGTTGATATATTGTTAAAATATACATTGATACAATTCTGACAAAATCCCAGTCATCCCACATGACTATGTTTAATTATAATTATAAATCACAAAAGCTAATCGAAGTAAAGTGTGTGAAAAGTGTCATAAGTCAAAACATGTCAACTAATAAAGACAGAGAATGTATAACATAGAAAATTAACAACACAAACCTTGTGCCATCGACTTTGACACAGAGAAATTGACCATGTCGCCAACCATCTTGGAAATTGCCAAAGAAGACCTCTCCAGACTTAGAATAGAATCTGCCTTCACCATTGGCTCTCCCCTTCCAAAAATTAGCAAACCATCGTTCTCCGGTATGGAAGTAAAGCCAGCCCTATATCAAACAAAATCCTAGTCATATGTCGGGGAAATCACAATTTTAAGATGATAGAATATGTATGATGTCCCGATATTTTGTCGGAGCTGGTTTTGTGTGCAACAATGAAAATAAGCATTCTCTTTAATTATGGTTAAAAGGACAAAACTACACTGGGATATAAATATAAACAAAGTATGAATTTCCTAGAAACCCTTAAGAAGGGGGAGGGGGGGGGGGGGAATCAAAAGCCTATAAGAAAACTTGTAAGCAAAGCATGACTGCCTACAAAGCTGCCAACAAGTCAGCAACTAGCAACTCACGACATAGTAGCATACTCAATAGAATCAGATATCTTATTTGAGGCAAGGAAAATAAAACTGCTAAATAGAAATAAACCTTGCCATGCATAAGATCGTCCCTCCATGATCCATGGAACACATCTCCATTACTGAAGAACAAGCTGCCCATTCCTGACCTTTTCCCATATCGCCATATTCCATCATAGACAGTACCATCCAGAAATGTAAGACGACCCTGCAGGACACAATTTTTTCAGTTTAATCACACTAATGATTATCTGCACAGAAAGTTATGACTGGGAGTCTGGACTAGAGTTCAGTCATCAATTAAGTACCCTGCCTTCAGGAAGACCACCTTGGCAACGACCCTTGTAGATTCCTCCTCTGTACCGGATCTCCATCACTGGACACCATTTCGTATTAGTATCCCGTTCTGATTCCTGTTGCACTACACACAAGTTAAGAGCAAGACCATTCATGGAGTATAAGTCAGCAAGGTTACTATATGTTTGAACATTTTGTATCATATCATTTCAAGAACTAAGCTCTTAAGTCATTCAAAAGATGTCTATGGAGCATATAAACATACGCATGCACATACACATGATGAGTTCACAAGGGTCCTCCGTTGTTCTCTAAATGCCACACTAGGAGCATAATATCTGGAATTCATTTTAGAAAAAACTAGTTTAACTACTATGCTAATCACATGCACAAATGCGTATATAAGAGTGGAAAGTAGCCGGAAAAACAGTATAAGATAAAGGAGGCAGAAACTGTGCATGGATACATAAGGCATGTGTATCTGTATAGACTAGACAAACTCATAAAAACTACATGAACAGGAGAGCACGGAGCAGAAACCAGAGAATGAAGTCAGATTACCAGCATTGATGCAGCACGAGCAGAAAGAACTCCTTGCTTTTTAGAAGCAATAGGCTGTTTTCTTTTCAACAGAACTGATGCACTATTCCAAAAGCCAGTTACTGCATCAAAACTCGTATCTGTAATTCCATTCCGAGGCGGAACACTTGATACAGAGGATGCTTGCATTTGAACTTCTTCATTATTTTTTTCTGCTGACAGGCTTAAATTTGAATCATCGTAAACGTCTCGTAAGTCGGTAGAAAGTCTCACACCAACAGGAAGTTGAAAAATTCTTGGATTATCAGCCAGAGGATCAGCTCCAGATACATTTAACTCTTCCTCGTGCCACTCATGAGATATTCTATGACCTGGCCTAAGGCTCCGATTGATAAAAAGCTGCCTTTCAAAAGTTTGAGCTGTTAAAGAAAGGTTTTACGTAGGTAAATATCATGGTTTTTGTTTAGTATATACAGTGGGCAGCACCCAATTTTTTCCAGAATATACACTCACCTTGATCAATTTGCTCTATATTTTTGAATGTATTGCCATCAGAATCTAGATACTGAACCTTGTCTGATTCACCATCTTCAAAATTCCTAAAGTTGCAATGACAGTGAGTGGCATAAATTGATAAATTTAAACGAAGATTTTTCACACAACTGAGCGAATCCAAGGCAATATAGGGCATACCTTTCAGCATAATCTTCATCCAGATGCATCTCATTCATGACGTTTGTCATCGTGGGAGGAAACATATTTTCTCTAAGGTCGTTTTTCTCAGAAGTTCCTGACTGCATTTCCTGCCTCCTCAAAAGATTGAAAACAAAGGGGATGCTATCTGCCAGTCGAGAAAGAATGTTGCTATTCTGAAGAGACTTTCTTTCAGAACCACTGGCAATGCATCAAGAAACACCGAATTTATATAAAAAGAACTCTTTGATTTGGTTATGGCAGCATCTTTCAAAATACAGTAACTGAAAACTGGCATAGAAAAATTTCAAGTGATTCACACACACACACACATAGTGCAGATATATTTATTGACAATTTGTAATAGACGGATAATGGTATATCTGCTGTAAGGCAATGCGTCCAAGAACATGACTGATGTTCAAGCTGAAATACTTGTATAATATTACCACTTTTGCTAAAAGTAGCCCTATTAGAGCTAGCTGAACAATGGCTTTTGTGCAACGTCAAAAGGGTCCTAATGTAGTGAGATTGTTAGGGTTGTCACAAGTCTTACAACCACTAGCAGATTATATAACAAGCACTACTTCAACATACAAAAAGAGAAGGAAAATGTGGGTCCACTTCCATTGCTCAGAAAAGTGCAAACACTTGATGTCATGCTAATCCCAAATAGTATCATTCCAAATGAACAAAGCAAGCCAGTAATGGATCATGCCACTTTGCTATAAAAGTAATTACCTTGACAACAGGGATTATTTGATCAAAAATAAAAGGAAAAATGGAAACTAAAAATCCAACCTTTGCGGCGCGGTCTGACAATAAAAAACCAACCTTTCATTAATCTCAAAAAAATCCAACCTTTGCACCCCACCTTCTCCAACAGATCCATTTGACCTTTAACCTATTAAACAGGTTAAAAAGTTTTTTTTTTTTTTTTTTTTAATTCTCTTAATTTCCCTTCTCACTCCTCCTCTTTCTCTCTCCTCTTTCCTCTCTCCAACAACCCACCAATCCACCAATTCCGCCACCCCAACAAGCCACCAAAAACCCGACCACCACAGCCAACCTAAAACCCGACCACCCCAGCCAACCCCGACCCACAATACCCCGGCCCTAACACCAACCATCCTAAAACCCCGACCACCCCAGCCAACCTAAAACCCGACCCTCACCCCTTGCTGCCACCCTCCTGTCACCCCCTAAAACCTCTAACACCCCCTGCTGAAACCCCCAGCCCATACCATAGCAGCACCCTTCGCCACCCAGGAACCCCAGCTCACCTTCCTGTTGCTTCTCCCTTGCAACCAGCAGTGCCACATCTCCCTCGCAACCAAGAACGCCGCATCTCCATCACTCAACCCCGACAACAGCATCTCCCTCACTCAACCCCTGCTACCTCGCATTTCCCTTGCACTCCCTTACTCAGACAACCGCACCATCTCCCTCACTCAACCCCGACAACCACACCATCTCCCTCACTCAACCCCAACAACCACACCATCTCCCTCACCAAAGCAGAGCAGCCAGCAAAAAGCTCCTCCAATTCAGCCTATTTCAAATTAATTGGGGGGACTGTGGGGGGTTTGAGTGGTTGTTAGGGCTTCGGGGTCAGGTTGGGTTGTCGGGGAAGGAGAGGTAGGGAGGGGAAGGGAAAGGGGGTGGGTTGTTCCGATCGGGACGGCGGCGTAGGGGTGTTCATTTGGCCGTAATAGGGGGCTGGGGGCTTTGATTTTTTTTAATTATTTTTTAATTAATTAAAAAATAGTAGACCTATAAAAAGCTGACACGTGGCATATAACTTATAAAAACCGATCACCAACAGGTGATGGATCTTTAGATGAAGCTGGGGTATAAAGGTTGGATATTTTTGAATAAACTTAAGGTTGGATTTTTATTGTCAGACCCCGCAAAGGTTGGATTTTTAGTTTCCATTTTTCCAAAATAAAAATCATAAAATAAAAAATGATAGAAGATCGTAGTTTGATGCAATTAAATCGTCAAATAATCCCGGACACTCCCAAACTACAAGCTCAAACAAATCAGGATAAAATTATCATCTCGATGATGATTTCTCTCCCTGATATCCTATAGATATTATCCTTCCTTTCTCTACTCTAACTACTCAACATATTCCCCAAGACAACTAATTTATAGTGACAACCCTCCCTCTATGCCAATCTATTACAAAATGTCAAGCACAAAGACAACAAATTCTCCTACATGAAACTCTATAATCATGCTCCTCTCACATTAATTGAGAAACTGACAAGGAAAATAAAAGGTCACAGGTATCAACTCTAAGAGAGAAGACAGTCAAAATGAAATTACAATATGAAGCAAGCACGTCAACTTACCACACTGTGATAACTGTTGTTTCTATAGAGTTAGGCTCCATATCAGGATTTTTAATTGTGGAAAGTATGACTTCTTTGGTGCACTTTGTTGCTTCACGAAAAGTACGCAAAAGAGTACCGACATCATGATCTGCAATGGCTGAGGAACTTGAAAGAATACATATTACAATTCCATCAAGGTCCTGCATTCATGGATAAAGAGGGAAACATGACAACAGCATGGAAAAGATGAATCAGCATAAGACAATATCGTACTCTCATTTACAGGACATACCAGCCAAACTTAATTTAGATTATAGGGTATTGTTCATTTTCAAAAGGGTGAAAAATTTATTATTTTTTTGATTTTGGGATTTTAATGCACTTTTAGAAATTTGCTTATCTAAGATCTAACTGCCTGTGCATGTTATACATAGCAATGTTGAAGACGATCATTGTGCAATGAGAAAAGAAACTGCATTTGATATTTCATGGGAAAGGCTGCGTACATCTGACCAATCCCCCTATGCCGCAAAAAATGGGATTGGAGAGATTGGATGATGTAAAACCATAATCATAATTCAAAATAAAACCAGAGTGTGCATCCAAGAAACAAGTTGCAGTTAAAGACTGATGCACTCCCACAAAGACAGATAAATTTATATACTCCTTAGGTTAAGGAAAATTTGTGGTCTTACCTTAAGTCCAACCGAGAGGAAAGGGCAATCATAAACAGCTTGTACAATTGAAGCCTTGACATTATGGCCAACACCATAACCAATTCTTCCTTCCTTATAGTTCTCCAAGACCTACAGTTGTGTTATTAGCTTCATGGAGAAAAATCACTACGAGTTCGGTTGACAGTATTGGGGGAGTGGGAGAAGAGAGACAGAGAGTCTTTCAAACACTTTCTTCTACAATAAGTATTATGAGAACAAGAAAGAATGCAACTGTGGATGTAACATTTTAACTAATCAAACCATGCAAATATGTCATACTCAAGTTATTCAGGCACACACTGCCAAGCAGAACTCACTTTTATAACTTCACGAATGGTAATTTGAGTCATGCTATCATGCAGAGAGTGAATGTGCATTTTGCATGTGTCCTGCAAATATTAGTTAACATCAGACTGTCATTAAGACCAACAAAAAACTTGAACTAAATTGCGAGATCAAGAAGCTACTTACAGATACAATAATGGAAACAGCACTTATGGCTGACAAAACAGCTTGATAGGCAGTCTTCAGAGCCTCATCTAGAGTGACCAGATCCAGCTTCAGCAAGGTGTCAATGTCAATATCTGTGTGAAAACACAACAAAAAGATATCCTAAGTGAAAATTTTCATTTACCTATTTTTATAGTAAAAAAACATGACTTGTGTCAAAAAGAGGAATTATTCTAAACCAGCAAAACATTACATTTTCATCAATATTGGCAGATACAAGATTACAAGCACATAAAATTTCACTGTAGTCGGTACAGGATGGAAAAAGTAGGCCTAACTTATATACTATATCTACAAGACTACTCACACATGCCATTGTTAATAGAAAAATTAGAAAAAGGCCAAAATTAATAGAAAGCAGATATGGTAAAGGTGCAAGGCTTACTTAATAAAGCAGGGACAATAGAGTGCAGCAAAAACCACAGAATAGCTTAAATGAGTTGTTTAATTGAAAAAAAAAATTATAAGAGAGGAAGTCAATATGACTCATCGATCTAAGATAGTAAGATAATCAGGTGCCTCCGCCAAATAGTTACACATGCTATCTTGGAAGGTCAGGAAAAAGTTATTGTGTTATAAAAAATTGTAATTGATCATGATTGGATTTCCCAAATAACTCCTATCTGGAATTCTTAGATATAGAGAGTGGGATGGTGGGGTGTACACAGATATTATAGGTCAACGCAATCATGAGAAGTTTTAAACAATTTGATCAATGTTTATGGACAAAGGAAGAAGTTGACTAGGCATACATTGAACTACCACTAGTGACTTTTCTGGCACCAAAGTCCAGGCTGAACCTTTCTTTGATAAAATCCATAACCACATTGTTTTGATTGCAGATACAAAGAATGTAAAACTCAGTCACAGCACCTTATGACAAAGGAATTTCGGCATGAAATGCAATATGAAGTTTTAGTCAATTAATGTTTTAAGGACATAATATAATTTCCTGACAATAGCCCAAAAAAGTAGGAAAAGTGACCAAGACAATGATGTTCAATAAAAATATGATTAAATAAACTCCAGCATAAGTTGTGATAATGTGATGTAGAGCAAGACCTCTGGCATCAATTTACTTGACCTCTGTCATAATTAATAACCCATAAAGCCATAATGCCCATAAGTTAAGAAAATGTCAGTTGGAAGTTTTGTTAGTTCAACCCCTTGTGTACGTTGAGTGTCATGGGTTAAATCCTCTAACACTACGACACGACACCTAGATATTAAGTGGTCTTATATGAAATTTTACAAAATCTAGAGTGTCGAAGGATCGAACACCATGTCGGACACGCACCCAAATACAAGTCTGGGCAACATAGGCTGGAAGACTAGCAAGGTACACAGTGTTTTATATATAATTTATAAACATTCTAAAGATAAACAGATACACAAGTTACCTGAAATAGGTTTTTTTTTTCTGTTTTTTTTTTTTTCCTGAAAGAAAGTTGCTTGAAATAGTTCAGACCATTAGAAATCTTGATTTGAAAGAAAATTGAACAATTATGTAAAGACCAAAAGTAACTCAACAGATTTCACCAGTTTCAATGATAGGCTAACACCAACAGAGAAAGAATGGATACGAGAAAGAAATAAACCAAAAAAATCAATAAGCATACCACTCACCAACACAGAAGTTCACACAATCCCGAAGTTTGTCTACCAAAATCTTGACCTGTGAGTCCCACAAAAATGCAGATTTAGTTTCACACACACATGATATTTCTCACTGGGGAGTTAAAAGAAATGCCATTAAATTGAGAGAGCGCACTATAAAATTATTTATCATGGAAAAGGGTTGTTTCAAAGAGCCAATATTAAATAAATAAAGACTGAGCAAACTAAGAAGAAGAATGTCTTGTGAGTCTTTCAGAATCTTATGCTCAGAATGTCCAAGGTGAGGACACACACACAACAACAACAACAACAACAACAAAAACACAGTTTTAATAAAAATGACACACACACAAGATCACATGAAGTACCATAAACATAAAAATAAAATACAACACATGAAGTGGGATGGTTTCCCAAAATCCCAATATAATTAAACTCTTAAAAGATGAATATATTTCTGCTAATTCCAATAAGAAGCTTAAGCTTACATCTACATGTTACGGATAACAAGATTTTCCTTGTTGAAATATAATTTGTTAGTGGGGTTTGTGAGAAAGTGAGCGAGTGAGAAAGTGGAACAAGAGTAAAAAAAAAGTATGTGAAAAGTGTCGTAAGTGAGGACTATGTAAGAAAAAGAAAGAAAACGTTGTACCCCATGTAGGTGGGGTTTGTGAGAGAATTTTTTTGAAAAGAATAGGAAAATAGCAAAAGTGTAATCGACAAAAAGGAATGGATGAAAGTAGTGAGTGTAACCTAACAAAAAGGAACAGAGGTAGTATAAATATAAACATTAATTTCTTTTTTAATAGTTAAGTGTTACATGTCATTTAGTTTTTCAGCAACATATGTAGGTAAAGATCTTGTCATTAAGGAATTCAAGAATAGCAAAGATTACTTATAGTTTAAGACAGAAGGGTATCAAACCAAGAAAATTCAGAATAAGGTCTAATTTCTATAGATGGCAGGAATTGATAGAAACTTACACATCAAGGCAAGGGCAATAACCTACCTCATCTTGGCGTCTCTGGCCTTCAAAACTAAAAGGCTTCACTATAACAGCAATAACTAACCCACCACTGGATCTAATCGCCCGAAGGGTATCAATTGCCGTGACATGATCATCACCGTAGCCTGCACTTGCCACCTATACAAGATAAAGAATAAGATTTTATATAATCAGAATCCTCAACATCATCTTGTGAAGGGAATAAGACTATGAGCAGAAACATTTCTTCTCTTTATTCTTTAATGTACAAGAGAAGAACATTGTAATTAGAATACACAAGTCTTCAGTAAGAGACATATTCTTCAGTGAAAGCAGCTCTTATGGGATTCCCTCTTTTTTAATTACTCAGTGAGCTTTATAGTTGAAAAATATTTAGGTAATAGAGGGGTATCATATTCCTCTCAGATTTGTTGTGGTTGAACATATTAATAACCTTATATACCATACAAGCCATCTTTACACAAGGGCAGACCTTTGTTATGGCGGGTCGGGACCCGGCCCCCCAAAATTTTTATAAGTTGTTGGTTGTAACTTGTAAGTAACATAATACAATTAAAATGTTGTCACATAGTGGTCAAGTATTGTCATTTTTGAGCAAAAGGTTGGTGGATCAAACCTTGGCTCCCCAAACTTTTTGGCCCAAGATCTGCCACTGTCTTTACATGGCCTATTTTTCTGTCATTACTAAATATCACTCGTATGGTGCCAAGGCATGTCTTAAAACCTTACACTGTATTGAATCTCTCATCAAACGAGTATGAGGGAATTTAGACTAGAGGATTCTAATATCTACACAAAAATGTCCGCATTAAATTGCATTTGATTTGGAAGTGAAAATGTGAACACTAAGTAAAAATACCCAATCTCAAGAAACCTCAGCTAAAAAAAATGTCTCAGTATTTCAGCTGTCACATATATCAGAAGAACTGAATGAAGACACAAGAAAGGGGCAAGAATGTACAAACAAGAACAACAGCCTTCGAATGTAATTGTTGGTTTAGTGGTGCCTCTGCAGTGTTTGGATAGTCATCTGCAAAAAAAGAAAGGAGATAATTTGATCAGAAATGAAGTCAAGTAATTACACATAGTTACAGAGAGGAGTCAGAGGACACACTAATACACTATCCTCCTAAAGAAACCAATACAGAAGTGGCACACGAGCACATCATCATCAAGTGCAAACCCCAAATAACGACACCAAAGTAAAGCAAGATAAGCCACTTTATCCCATACAAACTCATGCCCTGTAAATTTAAATGTTTAATGAAGACAACCAAACAATAGCTAGACCAGCCAATCTATAAAAGGAACATTCTTCCTTTATTTCTCCCATACACAAAGTAAATGGTGAAATAACCCACAGAACCCGTGATATAAAATTTTTATCAGACAAATAGACAGCTCCAGCTGACAGGTCACCTCACAATGTAGGAAGAGATAGTTTCTCAGCTTTGCCTGAATATATTGAGATGTTAGAAGGACTGAAGTACATTTATATGAGACCAATAGAACATATCACCAGTGACCTTGAAAAAAAAAATTGAAATTTTTTAATCCTATCCTAAGCAGCACATCTTTTTTCCAGTTCTCTTCACCTGATTTTCACTTAACTTAAATTATTTTTGTTGGATTAAACTATTTGTACTGTACAGAACTTAGATTATTTGTACTATCGTAATAATGACAGCACTTTTCTTTATATCCGTTTTCATAAGAATTGAAACATTTCCTTATTTGAAAAAGATCCACTATTATTTTATTATATTTCCTCCACTAACCCCACTTCCACATACGAAGTATAATTTATTATTTCTCTCTCCTACCAAACCCACCTACACTACTATTTTTTTTTTATTATTTCTCTCTCATATTAACCATACTTTATATGGAGTATTACAAAAAAATCCTCTTTTTCTCCTCACCCTGTGATTTTCCTAAAACTTTGTGCGTACCCTAGTGTTGCTACTTGCTAGTATTACGAAATGGAGGAAGTATTTATTAAAACCTATTTTAACTGATTCACTGTACTGATTTTTTATAGTATCTTTACTGAACTTAATATTTTTTGTTGAATTTAAATTACTTTTACTAAAATTGTATTAAGGTGAAGAAAAATAGGGCCTAACTATCATTCACTACTAGGCAGTACTCATACAATTGAATTAGAGCACTTAGTTCACCATTTGGCTCTCAATCACTAAAAGTTCACATAACTTACAACCAGACTTCTTGAAATTTGAAATGTAACAATCATTCTGGACATAATATATCATCCAAAAAAAAAACACCACTAGACATTCAGACATTTTCCTAGGTAACCTCTCTTAGACAAACCGGAAATCTCTTTCAAATAATCTAAGTGTGACGGCTGATGGTTACCCCTAGAAATGTAACAAATATGGAAGTTTTTTTTCAATACAACAAAAATTAGCAAAGAGTGAGAGCACAAAATATCACATAGCTCTTACAGACATTCAAGCATAACAAATAGCTAAGTACAACGAACTTACAAAGTATGTACTACCTCCGTTACAGGTTATGTGCAACGATTTGACATAAAGCAGAGAGGGAAAATGTCTGATCGTTGCACATAACCTGCAACGGAGGTAGTATATAGCAATGCGTCAATTTCACCACAATAGCAAAATCAGCAGCTACACAATAGATACATATCACTACATCATATGGTCTAGGTTTACAGCAAGATGAAAGTTCAGCAAGCAGTGACAGCAGAAAAATCTTAGATACTATGACATGGACCATATCCAATCAACTCCTCAACACAATTGCAAATAAGTAATTGATACAAAAATAAAATAACAGTTCACACTGAATGACCCTTAATAACAAACACGTAGCAATAGACAAAAGAAGTTATCAACAATAACTAAACCTTTTTCAAGAACCCTTTGACGTAATTGTCCTGTCGACGAATCTCTTCTGATAACATTCCTGTAAAGACATTCAACAATACTTTGAACTCTCAGCAAAATATAATCAAACAGATAAGTGAATATGATATATTACAACAACACAAACACGCTCCCGCGTACACACAGAAATTACGAGAATTGTCCTTTCCCGCCATTCCTTCTAATTCTGTCATGTATTCTTTCCCAAAATCACATTATACAGTAGTAGCAACAAATGTGAACATTATCAAAGAGCAATTAATTCAACAAACTACTACGGAGTAAAATTAAACAATAATTAGGTATTACTAATAATTAATAGTTCCATATACATATAAGAGCAATTAATTAGTAAATTATTGCAATATACGAAGTAGATTACACACACACAAAAAAAAAACAAAAAACAAAAAAAAAAGTACCAAAATCTCAAAGAATGTGAAGTCGAAGAGAAGCTGATGCAAAAATCAAGAACAGAATCAACTCTATTGCCAATACCAATAACTTCAACAAATTGAGAATCAGCCCAAACGTCGGTAATGCTGTCATTACAATTAGCGTCGGAATTTCTGCAATTATCCTTCAATGATGATGATGATGATGATGAAATGGAACAGCTGATTTTGAAGGATTTTCTTTTGGATTTTGTTGATGATTTCGAAAACCTAATGTGATGATGAATTGAGTAGAAGGAGCAATTGAAAGGGTAATTTGAGGGTTTTAGGGAACGTGGAGAAGCTCCTTTGTAGGTTGGGGGAGAGAGAATCGAGAAATTCGCCATTTCCATGGTGGAATTGGGGTGGAAAATTAGGGTTTATGGAAGTGTTTGAGGAATTGTGGGTGTGAAGTTTGCAGAAATGAGGAAAGGAAACATGGCGTTTTGGAGAAACAGGACGAGGAGAAGAGTTAATACTTTTTTTTCTTTTTCAAGTAACGGCTTGTTCACGTATACTTAATATCAGCTCAATTCAGTTCAGTTCAGCACCAATTAGTTCAGTTTAATAAATGAAATAGGCTCTAAAAGTAAAAAATAAAGTAATATAAAATGTCTAGTAAAATTTTTCATTTGCAGCAATTTAAAAAGAAATACAAATTGCAGTTCAAAAGTTCTTATTACAGTCCGATTCAACTTTTTTATCGGTTTACGTATTGAAAAATATTCGGTTAATATTTTATGGGCCATTTTAGGTCTTAATGGTCCGAATTGAGCTCAGAATTAGAAAAAAAAAATAACGTAAATGTCCCGTTTTGCATTACAAAATGTATTGATTTGTTGACATCTATTCCACTTACATTATTTTTGTGCTAATTCCGGGCTCAATTCGGTTCCTTAAGAGCTAAAATGACCCTAAAACCTTAATTGAATATTTTTCGACACATAAACCGATGAAAAAATAGAATCGGGCTGCAATTAACAATTTATAAGAACTTTGCAATTTTTTTTTAAAATAGCTGCAATTGCAAATTACTAAATTTTAAATGACTACAATTTTCCTAAATATAAAAGATCAAATTACATCAAGCTCCATTAAGAATATGATTTCATAAACAAGGATATAACATTTTCCATTTTCTCAAAATAAAATGATGTAAATTAGATTAAATCTACAAATGATTAAACTTTATGAAAATATTCAAGTTTATCTCTGAGATAAACATAACTTACGCTAGACGAACACTTTACTACCTCCGTTACATATTATTTGCAACGATTAGACACTTTTCTTTTAACTTCATGTCAAATAATAAGAAGTAATGGAGTAAACTTCATAAACACAGCGCTTTGCCGCTTTGTCCAAAACAAAATAGAGACGACGTCAGAATCATGGCGGAAGTCGAAGACTCAAAGCAAGCAGTAGGGCAAGAAGAGCAGCAGCAGCAGCAGATGAAGCAGCAGGAAGTAAAAGAAGCACATGAAAATGGAGAAATTAAAGAGGAAATGAAGCCATGGGAGCAACACTCTGCTGTCATATGTATTCCTCGCTTTGATTACAACGCTCCTTCTTCTCTCCTCCTAAATTCTCATTCTGGGTTTCTCATTACTTGCCCTATTAGTAAGTTCTAATTCACCCTTTTCTATCTCCTTCTTCCCACTTTAATGGGTTGTTCAATTATATGCTATATTTTGTTTCTTGGTGAATTGGGGTCTTGGGGTTTTGTTTAATTTGATTTTTATTGATTAGTTACAGCTTTCTTTATCTAATTTAAAATTGTAATGGGTGAAATAAGATAAAATTATGATTCAACAAGTTAAAATTCGTTGCTAGGGTTTAATATGATCGATTGTTCAATGTTGAAATTACAATGATGGAAAGTTTGTTTCTTTCCTGCATGAGTTTTTGGATTATTTATGTAGCTTAGGTGAATGTTGATGCCAGTAAATTGTTATTGAGATATTTATGTATAAAAAGCTCAACTCTTTTTAATAAGGAGCTTTATTGACCTTAAAAATGTATGATTCCATGGATAGGAAAGCAATTCATGAAATATCGGACCCTATCTTGTGGTTTTGTAACACTAGACCTTAATTTTGTGGAGGATGTCAGCTCTTTGAGAGACAATGTGAGGATAGTGGTTTGGTTTTGGCCTAAGCATCCAATAAAATAATAGGAAGGATTACCTAGTTATATTTGTTCTATGAGAAGAGAAACATAATTGTTGGCTGGGGAATTTCGTTGATAGTTTGTATGGATGAATTGTGTATCTCTTTATATTGTAACTGTCTTAAACTGTTCATTAGAAAAGATGTCATTTGGATGAACCATGCAGTGTTTAAGCTCCACAAGACAGCATTGGCTTTATACTACTCTATTGGCTGAACAAACTTTTATTCAAATTACCAGTCACGGATTATATTGTGAAATAATTTTTCCCCCGTATTTGAGATGAACTTGGCTCTTAAAAAACTTCTTGCTTTACAGAGAGGGAGAAGAGTGCAACAAAAGAAGCTATATCTATTCTTGGAAAGGTATTTTCTTGAAAATCTTCAAATAGTTAACATCCGTTCTTTGTTTATTTGATTCCACTTAGTTGTACATGCTGCAATTCTTTTTTCACTAAATTCTGTATGAAGCTGCCTATCAAATCAAGGATGTATGGCAAAATACCTTGTTAAGTTGTTAGTCTTTAATGATGTTGGGCTTAGACTGAAAAAGCCTCAGTGCAATTGCAGCAATTGTATCATAAGTTGGTGCCCATGTGACTACTCAATTTTGTCTTAGGTGAGAATACTGAGAACTTGGTTGAACCTTTTTAGAGTATTTATATTATGTACCATGTTAGAGAAGCTCAAAGACATTGGAGTGCCATTAATATGACGAACTTTAATCTGTTGTTCTTTTAGTGTTCTAAACCTCAAGTACTTCATAATATTTGCTAGGAAATTTTGACTTTTACCACCAAAAAATTTGGACAAATTGTTTTTTACCACCTACTATTTTAAAAGTTGTATTTTACCACCAAAAAATGTTCTAAAAATTGTTTTTCACCACCTACCATTAAGAAAACCGTTAAATCTAACGGTGTTAAAAAACATTCTTCGATTTTCGTGCCCGAAATATGTTTTTTTATAGGTTTAGGGGGGCATTTTGGCACCAAGGGTCCAATTTGAGGTCAAAATTGATAAAAAATGATCGAAAATACCTCGTTTTGCGTGTTCACGCAATTCGATGTATTTTTAAACACGCAAAACGAGGTATTTTCGATCATTTTTTATCAATTTTGACCTTAAATTGGATCCAAAGGGCCAAAATGCCCCCTAAACCTATAAAAAATATATTTTAGGCACGAAAATCGAAGGATTTAAAAAAATTCCGTTAGATTAACGGTTTTCTAAACGGTAGGTGGTAAAAACCAATTTTTTGAGTTTTATTTGGTGGTAAAATACAACTTTTAAATTAGTAGGTGGTAAAAAACAATTTGTCCAATTTTTTTGGTGGTAAAAGTCAAAATTTCCTATTTGCTAACTTACTGGAAATTTATACTAGGTAGTAGATTGAGTCAAACTGGTAAGGCGGTAAAGTTATCGGTGAAAATTCAAAGTTATGTACTCGTGTGTATTTTTGAGATTAGAGTATGTCTTGTATCCCAAAAAAGACAAGAAAATTGCCCAATTTGCTATTAGTAATACATTTTTACTTAAGCTTAGTGGTCCAAATTCAACCCCATCATGTAGTGATTCTATCATTCTCCTGTAGTTTGAAACTTACTGGAGGTACTTCGACAGCCTAGAAACATTATCTGAAATGTTATGGAAATTAAAGGTATTAGAGGGTCTAGATTTCTTGAAATTCCTGGAAAGCACGACCTATAATATTCACAATATAAAAGCTGCAAATTTATTGTCATATCTCCTTCAAAGACAAATAACAGCTACACTGTAATTTGCTACAAGTTAATTTAGGTGTGTATATTTTCAAAGCCCTTTCCTGGGGTATTAAGAAAACAAGTGAGTTGGATCATGAGTGGCCTGGAACGGTGATAATGATTGTTTGCTATTATTGATGGCATGATGCAGATGAAAAATTATTTAATTGGTTGTATCAACAAAGATCATCTTCTTTTTCCTTATGTCCATTCTATTTCCTAGTGACTGTCAATGCCGTTGGAATACTCACGGTTGAAGGACAATGTGATGGTTTTGCAGTATATTGAATCCAGTGGTAGTGACTGCTCTAGAGAGTCTGATTCCAGTGAAAATGTTAAAAGAAGGAAACTTGATGAGGTGGAGGGAGGCTCTGCTGTAGCTATCACTAGTAAGATACTGAAATTTGGTTTCTAGATCCTCAGGATCAATTACAAAACTGAGTTTAGCATTGGTTTGACTATTTGGAATTTCTATATATCTGTATAGGTATATTGTCAAAAGATGATTCTCAATCTTTTAGAGTGACGAATGATTCTGCAAAACAAACTCCTAGTCTTATGCTCGTAAAGGTGACAAGAAGTGGCTTGGTTCTTTTTACATTCCCCAAAGGCAGTTCTTTTGATCCGGTCAGCATAGTCACCCAATTAAATCAATCCTTAGAATCAGGAGAGTTAAAACGACCACTGTAAGTACTTGCTATTTTTGGCGTTATATTACTCAGTAATTATCCAATGTGTTACTTATCCAATTTATTTTGTTGCTTTGTTTAGTGCCAAATTACCCGTTTATATATTTAATCATTTCAGTATTTGCTCCAAACTATCAATAATGAAGCCTTTAGGCCTGGGTATGTCATATACTTGTACATTTTGTCTCTATCCAAGAAAGATTATGACCAACAAGAATAATGTAGAAAATCAGATGGGTTCGATGGGCAAATGTTTGAAAATCTTGAGATACAAGAATTGGGGTTAGACCACATCAGAAGTTATCTGTCTGAGGCAAAGGCTATAAGTCAAACTTAAAAATTGCCCTCTAGATGCCGTTGGAAGTAGTTGAGATAATATTGGAGGAAAGAACCCTGATCAGAAGCATCTTCCAGGGATGTACAAGGTGTATATTGGCCATATTAAGGTTAACAATGACTTGGGTAAGCCTCAGGGTCTCAGGGACTGTCTTAGACTCTAAGAACCAGCTTTCTATTTGTTACCGCACCCAAGATTGACCACCTAGGCAAATGTAGCAAGTGTTAGTTAAGTTTGAGGAGGAGTCTCTTAGGGGTCTATGCATCTTTTAGGATCACCAGAGTCCATATTGGCTATTTGATCATAGATGACTGCAGATCCACAATTGTCTCATAAAACCCCAATCGCTTATGGTTGTTTGAGCTTTTTTTTAAGTTTGGTAGAAACCGCTGATTAATATATTTCAGGGGAAGTGTTATTGATTACCCTAATATCTAAGGATTTGTGTATGAGGAAACCTAATGTTGGGATTTTACGTGCATATATGATGTCAATTGTGTAGAATTAGTTTTCAGCCCTCCAATTGCGTTACTTAAACTACTCTTTTCACTCTGCACTCCACTGTTGGCTTCATTTTAAACCAGTGTCAAATACTATGCACAGTTATATATTTCTCTAATAATCATCTATTAAGCAAGTGTAGTGACTGTAGTCCCTCTCTGCAGCTGGTGCCATCGAATTTTCCCTATTCAAGCTACTTGTATGTTGAATGAAAAGGAAGTCAGTACTACTGTGTCAAATCTCGTTCTAAAGTACGTCAATGACAAAAGTTACAGATCTTCTGGACCCCTAAAGGTGAGCATACTTAAATATTAGCTTTGCGGTCGAGTATTGCAGTGAATTCTATCCAATGGAGACTTTCCTTTACATGCCAATCTTTGGTATCTGACCAAAAAAAATCTCTGTTTTCTTTTCTGTATGGAGGCCAAGGCACCACTTGTATCTTTCAAATTGACTTCCTAACTATGTTAGCTGTTACATTCTCTCTTTTGGTCTCCTTCCTCATATATGTAAAAAATACAATATGCAGTCGTAGAATGATTTCTGTTTGATCTTGATGCACCACCTTTACTTTGTTATCTTTAGTTTGCAGTTAGCTATAGTAGAAGAGGAATTGAGGAGACAGAGATGAAAACTGCAAATGATAAAGTTAGCGAACCTAATCTTTGTGTATTGCTTGATCGAAATAAGTGCTTCTCCATTGTAGCGAGTGCTGTAAAAGGGGTTGTATCAGATTCAACCGTGGACCTTAAATCCCCAGAGGTTGTTAGCTCTCAATTCAATTTATGAACCGTTGTCAACTTGTCATGCCATAAAAAGTATATGTTTTGACGTTTAATTTGTGTTTATGTTTTGCAGCTTTGCATTTTCATTGAGCTTCTTCCATTGTCTGGGGTGCCAAATGGCTCACTGATTGTTGCCGTTTCAGTCCTTTCTGGAGACCTTGTCAGCACCAAACCACGGCTTTGTGTTAAATCCTTGGTCCTTGATCCTAAAGCTAAAACAAAAGCGTCTTAAACTAGGCTTGAACATCCAAGTCTTCAGAGAAGGGTTTGTCACAGAAATTTTGCAAGTAAAATTGGCTGCCAACCAAAGTGTGATTAGAGTATGAGTTTAAAGTTAAGTTTTTTCGTTGTCTTTCTTTTGATATTTTTGCTCCTTGATAGAAAATTTTTTTAGTAGTCCAAGTTTACAGAATTACAGTAGAGAATCTGAGGGTGAGAGCCTATACTGTACCTCCCATAAGGGCCATAACGTCATGCTTCGGTTGGCATAACGGTATTATATTTGCCTAGCCCAATTATATTATCTAGCTGTTAGGTAGGTTGATTTATCTGATGAAGTTGATTAATGAAACTTCTTGTATGTTCATAGTATGAAGCTTTTACCTAATCTTCTTGTCTTTTGGATACATATAAAGTTAATGTAGATTTTTCTTGTGTGAAATTACAATGTTGAAAAGACACTTATTTCTTCTTTTTTGGTGTTAGGGATTGGGGTGACGCGTGTCACAAATTCCCAACTTAATATCGAATTCTTATATGAAGGTTGGGACAATATGAAAACAAATGTTGATTTCCGAATAAAGTACTAACAAGGAAGAAAGCAACATACTAATGAACTAACCATACTAATCATTTATAATATCTTATTTTAAAAGATTAATGGCTAATATATAAGTTTACGTGGCTAATCTACAACCAGTTCAAATAATTTGACTTCACTACAATCTACAATAGTGTTAACATTGATTGTATCAATACCAAAGCAGTGGTTACTGATTAGGGGATTTTTCCCCACCAGTCACCATCTGACAAGTGGACCAATCAGGTTCCGCCATGTGTCCTTCACATGGGCCAATAGGAGTCTGCCACGTGTCAAGCAATGATCCGTCCACCATGGACCAATTACAACACGACATGTGTCCTTCCCATGACACCTGGGATAACCGGTCACCTAGGCCCAACTCCCGAGGGAAGCCCAATCAGCCCAAGGTTAACCTAAACCTAGACTGACACGTTTCCCGAGGTTATAAATACCTCCCTTAATCCTCATTAAGGGAGATAACATGCTAAATACGCAGATTACACACATTAAACACTCTCACCTAGAGAGACCCAATCACTTTAATTTCCGCATTAATTACTCCTTAATCAAGTACTAACTTGACCGTCGGAGGCGGATCTCCAACCATCCGGAGCATCCGTTTGTTTTGCAGGTACAGGCGTCCGGTTCCAGTCTCGGAATTGTAACTCTCTCGCAGGACATCAGAAAACCCCGAAACATTTGGCGCCGTCTATGGGGAGAGTACTTCTGAGATGGCATCCACGTCTGTACCGACTCCTGAAGAGAGGCGTCCCCTAGACGACCCTCAAGTTCAGTCGGACCACGATACTGAGAATGAATTTGAAGTTGAAGCTCACACAACTTCAGACGGGACCCTAAGGGCCCGACGTACCCGTCATACCGGAGGGAACGGGAACATCTTCAAAATGGAAGTGAGCCAGCAGGCGCACCGCCTGTTCGGCAGCAGCCGACTGATGGGTCTGCTCCCATCACAAGGAACGAACTCATGACCTTCATGAGGGACTTCAAGGGAGAAATTCAAGAGTTGATCAACAAGAAGCCGCCTGCTCTGGGCAAGGAGCAGTCGGCTAAGAAACCCTCCACTTCACTGAAGAGGAAACCAGTTCAAGGGCGAGAGGGGACCCCTCATCCTAAATCTAGGAAGTGGGAGCCACCTGCCCTTGATTTCACAAAATACCATTTTCCTACTCCAGGAAATAGGAAACATGTTCGTCATATTCAGGCGGACGGGTCGAGGAAAACATACACAGACGCTCGGCTACTGCTAGAGCAGAAGAAGAGTGACCGATTGTCAGAGTCGGCCTCTACTTCAAACTTCCAAGACAGTCTGCGAAATACCTCAATGAGGCATACTCAGTCGTATCGTGAGAGTCAGTCAGGCGGCACCTCCCGTCAGTCCGGCTTTCACAGCGACCAGGCGGTACCAAACTTACCGTTTGTACCGCAACAGTATTTTTTACAGCCACCTCCGCTTGGTGGACATGCAGCAAAAAATGTCCAACCTATGGACTGGCAGCTACGGTTGCTTAGACTTGGTGAACAGCCGTCGGCCTTCTCCAAGGAAATTACTAAAGCCGCTCAGCCGGCCAAAGTGAAAAATGTATTAGTAGGCTCCTATGACGGCACTACTAACCCAGAAGACCATCTAATGGCATTCACCAACCTGATGTACCTTCAAGGGTTGGATGATCCCACTTGGTGCAAGTGTTTCCCAGCGACTCTCAAAGGAATCGCACAACAATGGTTCGGCAACCTGCCGACTGGTTGTGTAAATAACTTCAAGACGCTTGCTTACTTATTCACCTCCAACTTCGCCATGAACATCCCTGCGAAGAAGACGACCCTTGATTTAGGAACAATTCAGCAGGGCGAGAAGGAGGGGCTTCGTTCTTACATCAGGCGGTTTAACCTGATGAGAATACAGATTCAAGGGTTACCGGATGAAGTAGCCTATACTGACTTTTTCAGAGGTCTCAAAGACGGGTCGACCTTCAAATTTGATTTGGTCCGAAAGAGGGTGTCGACTCTTCAAGAGGCCTTGATTGAAGCGGAAGCCTATATACAGGCGACTGATCTTTGTAGTACGGTAAAACAGTCAGACGGGAAGAGGTCCGACAAAAGAGAAGGACGACAGAAACAGTCGTCAAACAAAGACGAGAAGAGAAAAGAGGTATGGGCGGCTGATTCCTCTAAACAGCCAGCCCAGAAAAAGAAAAAAGAATTCAAACCATACTCCCCAAAGTATGCGTTTAGCAAGGATAGCCAGTTTATCCTAAAGGAAATCAAGGGACGGATCTCAATTGAGAAGCCGGTCCCCATGAAGGGTTCTGGAAACAACCGGAACCAAGAAAAATTATGTGCTTATCATGAAGATGTTGGTCATCACACCAATGAATGCATCAGTCTCATGCGGTATCTGGACCGCCTGGCTGACCAAGGTGATTTTGACACTTATGTCAAGAAATCTACGGGGAACACTTCCTCAAAAAAGCAGTCGACCAAAAAGAATCAACAGGCCGACAGCTCCAATACAGATGATGCAGTCGTCTACACCATTGCAGGCGGCTTCTCATGAGGCGGCCCCACTATTAGGGGCAACAAAGACAATATCAGGCGGTTAGATGTAAATTCCGTTCACCAAGAACGCCCCTCCAAATATTCATTTCCTGAGATTGTCATCACTGAAGAAGATCTAGGAGGGGTAAGAGGGCCGCATGACGACCCTATCGTTATTGAATGTAAAGTGGCCAACCAGAGAGTTGGCCGAATCCTCATAGATACCGGAAGCTCCTCAGATCTCATCAGTAGCAAATGTCTGTCGAAACTAAAATATCAGACTGATTGCATACATCCGGCATCCCACCCTTTAGTAGGGTTTGGAGGAGGAGTCGTCCACCCAGTGGGACGAGTGGATTTACCCATCCGCCTGGGCGAAAAAGGGGAAGGACGACACATGGTAGTCCGGTTCCTGGTAGTAAAAGAACTCTCGGCCTACAACATGATTCTGGGACGACCAACCCTGAATAATTCCAAGGCTGTTATAATCCCATCTCTTATGTTGCTCAAGTTTGAGAGGGATAATGGAACAGTCGAGTCCCTAAGGGGAGATCAGAGGATGGCCCGAGAGTGCTATCTCTCGGATGTCAAGCCCACTGTTATGGCCACTGGGTCGAGTGGTGGAAAAATAGACCTTGACAATGTCAAGGAGAGTGCGCCTGTTCAAGAAGCAGGCGACAAGAAGAGAAAGGCATCCCAGACAGGGGCCGCAAGAAAAGACAGAAAATAGCAATCATTGGCAGAGGAGCGGTCGGATGAATTCCGCCCTCAGCCGGCTGGTGAGCATACGGACTTGATCTTAGACGATTCACGTCCTGAGCGAACAGTCAAAGTTGGGACGACTACTCTGAGAGTCCTGGTGACGACTTTCACAAACTATTGAAAGAATACAAGGACATCTTTGCATTCGAAGTCCATGAAATGCCAGGCATTAGTCCTGATCTGGCGGTACATAAACTGGTCGTGGATCCGAAAAAGAAGCCGGTACGGCAGAAGAAGCGGAACCATGGCGAAGAAAGAAGTCAGGCGGCAGCCGCCGAAGTTAAAAAATTACTTGACGCAGGGTTCATTCGGCAATGTTACTTCCTAGACTGGGTTGCAAATGTGGTGCTTGTTAAAAAGCCGAATGGCACCTGGCGAATGTGTGTAGACTACACAGACTTAAACAAGGCGTGCCCCAAAGACAGTTACCCTCTGCCTAAAATTGATAACCTGGTCGACTCAACAGCCGGCCATGCTTTGATGAGCTTTATGGACGCCTACTCTGGTTTTCATCAAATTCCTTTATGGAAGAAAGATCAGGAGAAGACGGCCTTCGTCACTGATCAGGGGTTATACTGTTACACGGTCATGCCGTTTGGTCTAAAGAATGCCCCGGCCACTTTCCAGCGAATGATAAACACTGTGTTCTTTGATCAAATTGGGAGAAATGTCGAGGCATATATTGATGATATGATTGTCAAGACAAAACTTCAGAAAAATCATTTGTCGGACCTCCGAGAAACTTTCGCCACACTCAGGCGGCACCATGTCATGCTCAATCCCAAGAAATGTGTCTTTGGAGTTGAGTCTGGGAAATTTCTTGGATTCCTTATCAATCAGAGAGGAATAGAGGCGAACCCTGAGAAGGTGCATGCGGTCATTGACATGCAGTCGCCTCGTACCATCCGAGAGGTTCAGAAGTTAACAGGTTGTCTGGCGGCCTTGGGAAGATTTCTAAGCCGATCAGGCGACAAATGCCTATACTTTTTCCAGGAAATTAAGAAAAAGGCAAGGTTTAAATGGGGGCCGGATGCTGAGACGGCCTTCCAGAAATTGAAAGTTCACTTGCATTCCTTGCCGAGGCTGGTCAGCCCTTTGCCCAAAGAAGTACTCTACATGTACCTGGCCGTCTCTGATCATGCGTTAAGCGATGTTCTCCTTGCTGAAAGAGACGGCTGTCAGCTCCCGGTCTACTTTGTCAGTCACGTACTGAAAAATGCCGAGTTGAGGTATCCCTTAGTGGAGAAATTTGGTCTTGCACTCTTCATGGCTGTTAAAAAATTGAAGCCCTACTTTTTGGCAAATGCAGTCGTCTTGTATACAGACCAACCTATCAAGCGGCCACTGACCATCATGGAGTCGTCAGGCCGAATGATCAAATGGGCCATAGAAATTCAGAGCCTCGAAGTTACTTTCGAGCCTAGAAAAGCAGTGAAGGGGCAAGCCTTTGCTGACTTTATTGTTGAGATGACTCGTCCTCCGGACTCTCAAATTACAGACCAAGTCTGGAAGGTATATGTGGACGGAAACTCTACTTTAAA